CAGAAATGCCGTCGTTTTCTTAAGAATTTCATAAGTTGAGATTTTGAAAACTTGAGATTTCCGAGTTTTCAGCCCCTTGGATTACTTTCGGATAGGATGAGTCCATTACGTGTTTATTTTTGATGTTCGTCAGAAATGCCGTCGTTTTCTTAAGAATTTCATAAGTTGAGATTTTGAAGTATAAATTTCATAAGTAAATTTCATAAGTATAAATTTGAAGTATAAATTTCATAAGTAAATTTCATAAGAAATCTTAAGAATTTCATAAGTTGAGATTTCCGAGTTTTCAGCCCCTTGGATTACTTTCTTTGTTGCAAGAAGAATGTGTGGTTCCAAACGGAAGTGATCAGTCACTACTTGAGAAACTTCTCACAACACATTCGTCAAATCCTGTTTTCGCCCGCTCTAAGCAGTCGGCGAGGTGGATAAGTTTTATTATTGTCACTAGTGTTATTATCATCATCATTTGAAACATCATAAGATAAGTGAACATTGAAAATTTAAACGAATATTCATTCAATAAGTCGTCCAACATCAAGTAAATATATCAATTAGGTTAAATTGATAGTGAAATTAGTTGTGGTTTGACTGCAGGAATACGACGATTGCGCACTTCTCTGTGGTGCATTATGCTGGTAAAGTACAATACAACATTGATGGATGGGTTGAGAAGAATAAAGACGCTGTGGAGCGCAGTGGACTGGATGTACTGAGTGAAAGTAAAAAACCGATCCTGCAAGCACTTTTCCCGAAACGTATGCTACTGCTAATTTCTCATGCGATTTATAATCGTCTCATGTTCCCAAAAATCTTTTTTATCTCTAAAAAAATTGAACTTCGTCAATAAATTCGAGTGGACTGTATGCGATTTGATCTGTCAAACATTTTTTGATGTGTTAATAAAGTTGAAATATAGTAAGAAGGGCGGTCGCATGAAGGTTTCATCGAATTATAGTTTTAGCCAAATCACAGAATTCGGTATTTTAATGAAATCCTTATGAACCCATTGAATGTAACATAGAATACTGAATATCGGAGTGAAACAGGCTGTTCGATTTTACTTCACATATGACCAGTTTCAGCGAAGAATGGAGCAGTCAGACCTCGAAAACCATCGTTATGTGCCAGTACAGTCTCGCACATGTATAAGGTAAGTGAACTGTTTAGGTGACTTTCGTAGTATATCATCTGCAATTGACATGCTTTTGATGGGTGCATCGCGATGAATATTGCTTTTTTAAGGAGCAGTTACTGAACTTGCTTGAAACGTTGAACACCACTCGTGCACAGTTCATTCGTTGCATATCACCAAATGATCATCGCCAACCGGGCTTTATCGATTCGCATCTGGTGCTTCATCAACTCAGGTTGGCGAATCTTTAGACCTGGAAAATAAAGTGTTCTGAAATATCATATCATTGCTAATTGGGCATTAACAATTACGATTGAATCGTCCTGATATCAGAGTGCTCATCGATTTGACGATTCTTCTTGTCGATAAATTTGAGTAAACCTTTGCAAACTCAGTGTATCGCATATTGTTGTCACAACTATACAAAATGAAAATGATACCAAAGGTTTGACTGCTATAAATGAACGAAAATCCTTCGTTCAATGGTTGATATCGTTCTGTTGAATCTTTCTTGCCAAAATTACTCAGTCAAACAGCTGCTACACTAAGTCAGGGTAGTTTCACAGCCAGAGACCTTGCTCAAATGCGTCGAAGCGTTTCAGGTGCAACGGCGTTTTGGAAGGTGTCCGAATCTGTCGCCAAGGCTATCCAAATCGTCTTCCATTTGACGAATTCATCAACAGATATAAACTTCTCTCATCAGGTGGCCAGTTTGAAGCAGACTCTGAAGGTGCTTCTCAGCTGTGTCGCATTTTGAAACTTGATCCAGCGCGTGCACAAATCGGAACCACTAAAGTGTTCTGTAAAGTTGGAGTTATATCACAGGTTTCTTAAACATTACTTCAACATCAAGCGATTGATCTTCCTACACTTCCAATCACTTACTGTCATTGCAACTTCACTGACTGTTTTCAGCACTTTCATGAGAAACATTGAAAACTTCTTCACGATCTCAG